ACATCATTCCTGTTGATAGGCATCAAAATCCAGTCATCAGGCACTTCATTAGATTTGCATCTAATTAGTCACATGGCAGCAACTCAATGCAGGGAGAATTAAAAAAATTTAAGTGACCTGGAATGTCGCATGGTTGGGCTGATCTAAATATTATAGAAACTGATGATTTTCCCGCTTCTATCGTTTACAGAGAACCATCCAAAAAAGAAAAAATATCAATTGGGTGTCAATTCCTTGTTGATGCCAGAAGTCAGAGGAAAACGGTAAGACTGCTCTGAGATGATAGACATGCAAAGGTAATTTAAATAACCACTTGTTACAACCATGATATGCAGAAGAGCACAAACACAAAACACATCAAATCTTATAGTAGATGGGCTACAACAGCAGAAGACCAGAATGAGTCCCACTCCTCTGAGCTAAGAGTAGAAAACTGAGGATACGGTTAAAATCAGCTCACCAAAACTACACAACAGGAGAGTGGAGAAACATTACTTGGTCTGATGAGTTTGGATGGTAGGGTCTGAATTTTCTTTATTGTTGGTACTGTACTCAAATGGTATTAAGGCAGTTCTAAAGGCAAAAGTGGGTCCAGCCCCACAGTAGCATGGATTATCTAATAAAGGTTTTACTGAGTGTATAGAATAACTATATATAAAGAGACTTAGTCCACTAACAGAAAGCTTAACAACATGAAGTTATATTTTGTGTAGGGATTCTTTGGATTCTTCTGTTAGAAAAACTCCGACCTGACTCTACTACCTCTATGCTACAAGCGCCGCCACAAACAGTCCTCTGGGTGATCACGTTTTTTTAGGCTTTGCTGGTGTGGAATGTGCTGCCTCCACTCTAAAGGTTTGCAGATTCAGTAGATTCCTTTTAAAAAGTCTGCAAAAGGCATATCTGTTTAGTCAAGCCTTTCGGTAATATGTATTCACCAGAGACCAGATGTATAACTGGAGTGTACACAAAAACGTACATACGCCTTTCCCTGCCCACCCACACAGGCTTGATGGAGCACTTTTGTGTATTAAGGCATAAATCACTGAGTTTTTGACAACTGGTTCTTTGCTACATTGTTTATCTCCCTTTTGTACTTTGGCTTAAAAACTCATCTTTTAGAAACGGGGAGGATAGGACATTTAGTAAGATTGACATGCACTGCTAATTGGTTTACAGTATACCAGAGCAGCTACTGACCTTTACGGCAATGATTTATAGTCCTCTGCTGGACAGCACAGGATTTAGAACCAAATACAATAAAGAAGTGCTTTATGACATATGGTTTATAAAAGATGGATACAATCACTATGGCGTCATTAATTAGTAAAGTCTTGTTATGAAACCTCTGGCTGAGCTTTGTTGCTATGCTATTGGGTTCTTTCTGTTTTGAAAACCAGGTGAGCAAGTTCATACGGTAGTTACTTGCCACAGGCCCACACTAAGGTCTACCCAATTTTGTGCTCCTTCATATGCATTTTCTATAATATGAACTTCATGCTGTATTTAAATAAGACTTCAAACCAGCTATAAACCCACTGGTATAGTGCCTGCTGAGGTCAGAGATCAGAGTCAGATCCAGAAAAAGCTGGGAAAAACAGGATTTGTTTTGGTTCTTAGCCATGTGGGGCCATTCAGGTTTCACTGACAATAATGGCTAATACTTTTCTGATCAGTGCTCTGTACAGTGGCAGTACAGATTAAACATTTATATAGTTTTATTGCTTTTTATGTTCAGTGCCGCCATCTTGGATTGCTAACTCAGGGCATGTTGGTCTGCTTCAATTTTCCAAGTGGGAAATCAGAGCTGAAGGGGCGTTCCACAAAAAAGTTTCGACTGGGAACTTGGAATTTTCAGTTGTTGTCTTATTCATGAAACCATAATTTCTGCAACCAGAGTTGCTGCCCCCTATTGGTTATTAGAAAGAATGCACTGGCTTCACTTTTCAGACTGGGAACCTATGTCCATCTTTTAGATGGAGTCTATGAGTTTTATTATTACCTCTGGCAGTGTCTCTGCATATGGGTTTCATCAAAAAGGCAATGCCTGCAAGGTAGATACACACTGCTGGTTGTTTCAGGTGCTCTGGCGGCCCTCTGTACCTGTAACCACTGATGGTGTTTGCTGGTGAGCATAATTGATGGCGCTTGCAATCTTGTCCACACACTGCTCAGTGGTGATGGTACCCAGGGAGGAGCCGGGGTGGAAGTTATAGAGGCTGAGACCCAGGAGGTTGCAGCGGCTGAGCTCGTCCACCAGCATGGCCTGGCTCTTTTCAAACACATCTAGTTGAAAACATGGCATGCAGGTTAGACCAAAACGGAGAATAATTCTGCAAAGTATAATAAGAGATAACTAGGCATGAAAGGAATGGTAGACAATAATCAGTGTCTGACGGACCCTCTTTAGGAGATCCACAGTTCATCAGGTAGGAACCATGAGGCAAGATATGAGCTGGGTCAAACCCCTGTTGGGAACACAGCTCCTGAAACTTTGCTGCAGCTGTATGGTCCAATGCAGGCCTCTTCCACGATCGCTGGGAGCCCAGGAACAGGGCGAAACTGCTGCCACCCATCTCTGTACAGGACTCCACGGCTTTCCATATCCCACCTGTGGACGTGACGTCACACAAGTGTAAGTAAGTGTGTTTATCTTAAAGGGTTCCAAGAAGACGACATTAGGCCCTACCTTGAATGCCAACATGAGCTCCAATGTACTTCTTAGTTGCGCGGATGTTCTTCCTGTGTCCTCTCTCCTCGGTGTCCTCGCCCTCCTTTACTCCTGCAGAGGCATCCTCGTTTTTCCTTTTCCTCGTTCCCCTTTTTCTCTGACTCATGCTATGAAGAGAAAGTTGTAAGCAGCCCTTACGAAATAAGCAATAAGTTGACTGTCAGAAGTTTATGGAGGTCAAATAGCCTGTTTTATGCATCCCTCCAGGCAGAAGCCAGCCAGTCAGAGGACTTCCACGCAGCTGCTACAGGCTGGTCATTGGAGACGCTTCATGCTGAGCAGCAAAATGGCCGCCCGTCACCCGACTGACTCCACAGCGCTTTGAATTTAAATTCTTCTGCACATTAGGGTTTACACTATTATAACGGTAGTGCTCACGAACCAGTACGTTATTACGCGTGTATTTTCATTTTCTGACACTTTACTTGATTCTCCGCTCAGGCGTCGCTGTTCTTGTAGCCTCGACGAATGCCTCAAAAAGCTAGAAAAAAATCGCACTGAAGCACTTTAGCTAAGCTAGCTAGCACGCTAGCGTATCTTCATATGTGATTCCCGAGGTAAGTGGGTGATTTTTTTTTACATTTCTCGGCGTTGCACTGGGACGTTGTTTGAATGCATGCGAGTGGGCTGCATCTTAATGGAATGCCATGCCACGGCGCTTGCAAACCAAGCTAGCGCCATTAACCTGGCTACTTGTAATTGCTGCTGTCACTGGATAATGCTACCTTAGCTTATCTGGCTAATGTTCGGTAGCATTAGCGCCGTTTTGGCAGTATTTCTGGCACTGCGTTAGCTGAGCTGGGTATTTGGCCCTCTTATGTGTTTGCTGTTCAAGAACATTGTGTACACTTAATAGAGCAGTTACTGAACTTGCGTTGGTTTGAACTCGTTAATGTCTGCTGTGCACCGTGTCCACGTATTTTAGTCTGAACCCCTCCTTAACGTTAGCCTCGACGAAATATTTTATTAGCAGCAGCTGCTGAACTTGCCGCTTGTGTAAACCTGAAGGGGCGAGGATGAATGTGTCTGACTATTTCAGCTAAAGCGGATTTATTCACCCGTGTCTTCGGTTTTTGAATATGCCTTTCCATTTAAGCTCAAAAGTCAAACCTTTTTGTGCTGTGGGGCTAGCTGCCGAATGCTGGTGAGCTTGGAATAACGTTGACAGGTATGTCACGCATAAGCTGCTGGATAAGGTTTACTATACTGCAGATCTGACAGATTGAAATAACATCGTGATGATGTCTGGCTTTCTGATACTTCTGGCCTGAGATCATAAATGCTTCAAGGACGATGACAAGTCGCTGTCCCCAAATGTAGGAATCCTGCTTTATGGAAGTGTTAACGACACGAAGCAAAAACGAAACCAACATAAGACCGAGGCAGCCGGAGCATACCAGATTGCTTGGGTTTTGCTTTAAACGAGCCCCTTTAAAGGAGAAAACTAACGACTTGTGTTTTAACGTGCTAACATGAACCCAGACATGCTAATGTTGCGGTTATTGCCATATTGTAATGCATACATGATTTACATTTTGCGCATTTACGGGCGCTTCCCTGGTTCCGCTCTAATAGAAATGAATGACATTTCTATCACCCTGTTAAATAAACAGTATAAACCATTCGTTTCTTTTAAAAATCGTAGTATAGCTCAGCTGTTCCATCTTCAAACTGAAAAATCTAACAATACCATGTTTAGCTTGTCCCTGACATCCATCCTGCTCTAGGGATCATAGAGGAGCTATGGGGAATCCTAATGACAATGCACTCTTTGCTGTAGCTGAAATCTGCTTTTTTTTATTATTCTTATTTTATTTATTTAAAGCCAGTAAAGAGTATGATTCTGGGTTTGTAACTGCCAGCACACTGTCTCAAAAACAAATCTAGATTTCAAACTTTCAGTTTATCTGTTATGGGTTCCTGGATATGTAGGTCCAGTCAATCAAGCTTAACTGATTGGACCTACAGGACCTAAAGGTCCATTTATCCAATTGTCCAGTGGAAGTGTAGTGACAGAGATTGTGTCTTATATGGAGTTAGAATTAAATGTTTTCTTTTTTTTCCCTTGAGGAATAAATTTGGTTTACAGGAAAAATCTAGAAAATATGAAAACAAACTGTTGCTTGTTCTAATATAGTTGATACAAAATTACAATTTTGAATAGCCTGCTATTTTTTCTACAGAAGAAAGGAGCATCAGGACAGGAGCAGTAGTTCATGGAAGACAAGAAAAGGAAAAAAGACGAAAAAAGGAAAAGGGAAGCCTCTCAGAAGGTGAGTGTGTTTGTATTACCAGATTCCATGTCCTCTAGGACAGATATTCTCAAATTCAAATGAACGTTTGTATCTTGACACAGTATGCAGGCAGTAAAATATGTGCACATTCACCCATATCATTTAAAATGGCAGTTCTGCATGGATATATGTATGGTTCTATTAAAGTGACTTCAGTGCGCTCTCTTATCTCAGGTGGACACATTTGAACTGTCACATTAAGTCAGTGGGTTCAACAACAGCATTTAGTTTGGATTTTGAATTTTTGATCTTACATTATGCCATTTCAGATTTTTGGTATGCACGTATATACAATTTAACTATGTTTGACAAGATACCTGATTCATGATCTTGGCTAATTTGGGCTTCCTGAAGCTATGGAGTTGCAGTCAACACTGCAGCTATTGAACTTGTTGCAATGAAATCTCTTGTCCTTAAATGTCCTTAGATGTTACATTAATTTTGTGAGGACTAAATGTTGACAGATTATGTGAATAGTGAAAGACTAATAATATTAAAAAAACAACAGTTTCCTTTCTTTGTCTGGCTCAAAAAGAAACAAAAAACAAACTAAATTTTAACATGACTTTCTGCTTCTCTTCATTTTAGGTTGCAGAGCAAAAAAACAAAGGTAAGCAGCACAGTGATGTATTTTTATGGAGTTTGATATAAATATTAGTTTGCTTCTCAATATTTTTATGTCTGAAAAGATTGTGATGGCATCACAGTCACAGTAACATTATTATTTCTCTGGCTTAATAATGTGTTGGACAACACTTGATGCATTTTTAAATTTTTAAACAAGAGCACATTCATCTGCATCAGCGATTTCTTTGTTTTATAGTCCAGTTTGTTATCCATTTCTGGCAAATGCTTGATTAGAGGTTACATTTGAAGTAAATAAAACTTGCATTCTTAAAATGCACCTGCTTAAACAAATATCTCTCTCACCTCCTTGCTCTTCTTGTAGTGCCAGACTTGACTAAGCCAGCTTCTGCCCAGTCTTCTGCTACCCAGAGCAGCTCTGCCTCCCCCAGCCCTGGACCCACCCCCTCTGCCTCCCCATCTCCAGCCACCTCAGGCCCTGGCAGTGCTGCCACCCCATCACAGGGCGGCAACAATGCCAAGCGCCTGGCAGTGGCCAACGGACAGCCCACCTCCACCACCAGTTCTTCCTCCACCGCTGGCGGCTCCAGTGTTGCTGGAAACAGCAGTGCAAGTAGCGGAGGCGGAGCTCAGGCGCCTCAGCAGCCACCGCGCTACATGCCGAGAGAAGTGCCGCCACGATTCCGCTGCCAGCAGGACCATAAAGTGCTACTGAAGAGGGGTCAGCCGCCACTGTCCTCCATGCTGCTGGGAGGGGGGGTGGGAGGAGATGGCCCCAATGCAAACATGGCTGCTGTTTCAGGTAAGTGTTAACAATGCTGTTGGTCACAAGTATTAAAGCGGGTTTGTCAACTAATCACAGGGTGGTGTTTTTGGTGTAGAGTCTCCTGTCTGCTTGCTAAAGAGTCATTTGAAAAAGGAGTTCCTCACGATGGCAGGCAAGCATTGAAGGCCTGCAACCTGTGATGTGTTTGTGAAATAGAGGCTATTGTCACACATTAATTCTGGGAAATGTCAGGAAAATCAAGTTAATGCATAATCTAGATGGTTTTCTCACAAAGCAGAAAACAGGAGATGGGTGATTAAACCAGTATTGTTTGTATTATTAGTCAAGGGTGCTACCTTGGCCATGTGTGAACAGAGCAGAGAAGATGTCTGCTTCCTCACTGTGAATTCTCAGAATTGTTTCCTGTCTGATGTGACTGACTCAAACATTTGGAGCAAATGTAAATATTTGAAGCTCCACCTGGTGTGTCTCTGCATGTTTGGAAACCGCTGTTGTAAAGCACTGTCTGATCCGCAAGCGTTACATAGCTCTGTCAAAGCACAGGTCATTTACTGCATTATTTAATGTTTTTTGTGGGGGTTTTTTTTTTTTTTTTTTTTTTTTTTTAAACTGATGAAGAGTCTAAAGTTGCTCTTTTGTGGGATTTACTTTTACAGATTCCGGCACAGCAGCCTCCTCATTGGCTCTCACCTCATCATCAGTTGCTGCTTCTACTACTACTTCTAATTATGCAAATTCCATGTGGGGGGCAAGCTCAGGCAGCCAGGCCTCCTCTCAGGGCAGGGAGAAGGTGATTGTTGATGGCAATGACCTAGAGGAGTGGCCTAGTATTGCTGGCAGTGATGGAGGGAGCAGCGGCAACAACGGAATGCCTGTGAATAGCATTAGTGCCTCTGGCAACCAATCCTCACCCACTTCCTCGTTCTCTTTGCCCAATGAATGTATGCAGTCGTCCAGCAGTTCAGCGTGGGTGACGGCTGCCTCCCAGGGTCATCTTGGAGGAGGTATTGCAGTAACTGCAGCTGGGCCTCTGCTACAACAGTCCTCCTCACTTTCCAAAGCCCCCGCTGTGCCAGGGAGCCATGATGCCAGTGGCTCCGTTGATGGCAGCAGTGGGATTCCAGGTGCCAACTTCAATCCAAATGCCAACCCTTCAGCCTGGCCTGCACTGGTGCAGCAGGATGGCCCCGCTGCTGTAGGTGAAGGAGGTCAGTCTTCCTTTCACCATCAGGGCCCTGGCGGGTCTGCCAACAACTCTGCTTCCCTAGGGGCAGCCGGTGTCCTGGGGGGTCACCCATCTTTATCTGTGAATCAATCAAACACCCATCAGCACCAACTTCACCAAATGCCATCCAGAGACAGAGAAATGGGTGGAGGGAATTGGGATAGTAAATCAGCGGGACCAAAAATTGCGGGGGGAGAAGGGATAGGGGGAGGAATGGACCATGGTGCGGGAGGAAGTGGGATGAGTGAAGAGCACAGCCTTGTCTCCTCATGGAGAGGCCAGCCTTCTTACCCTGCAGCTAACTCCAAAAAGGGTGCCTCAAGGACTGAAGGTTGGGAGAGTGGAGGAACTTGCACGGGGGTATTTGGAGCTGCAGAAGGGGATAATGGGACTTCAGGTTGGGGTTATCCAAGTTCCACAAGTGGGGTTAATGTTTGGGGTAGTGCTGGAAATGGGGGCAACATGACTCAAACCTCTGGGGTATCTCAGGGAGGGTGGGGGTTATCGGGAGATGGTGGTGAAAGAGGGATTTCTGGTAGTGAGTGGGGTGGAAACTCTGGTGGGGTTGGTGGACCGAATCCAGGAGGTGAGGGAATGAGTGGAGCCTGCAGCAGTAACAGCAGCAGTAGTGGAGGCAGCACAGCAGGGAACCCGCCCACTGCTTCCTCCTCTTCCTCAACAGCCACCACTACTACCAGAGCCTGGGACAATCAGAAAGGAGAGAGTGAAACGGGAGAATGGGGTGAGGGTGTAGGAGGACAAGGAGGATCGTCGTCCAGTGGTGGAAATTCTAGAAGTGGGGGCGCGCCTAATAGCAGCCGACCACGTCGGCAGGCAGTTGATACAGAAGCTGCCTTACAGAGCCTGCTAAATCGCTCTGATCTGGATCCTCGGGTCCTGTCTAACACAGGCTGGGGCCAGACACAGATCCGCCAAAACACAGAATGGAACATTGATAAACATGCAGGACAGAGTAAAGGTGGATCCTCATCAGCTACATCAAAACATCCACCTTCTCTCGGTGGTCCTTCTCAATATTCTAGTGGACCTAGGACCTTAAGCACTGATTCTGTGACTCCAGGGGTCAGCCCTTCCCTGGTTCCATCCACTGGGTCCTCTGGTGAGGGCTGGGAGAGCAGCAGCAACAGTAGCAGTAGTGGGGCTTCTTTGTCTGGGAGAGCCCCACCACCTATCGGCCCCAACATGAGAAATATTGGCGTATCACAATCTGGGCCAGTGACTCCAACTGGACCTGTTATAGGGTCAGGGGTAGTGCCAGGCCCTAGCCAACAGGGGAAAGCTACAGGCTGGGGTGGAGGAGGGATGGGGGCTGGGGATTGCCAGGAAGCCACAGGTTGGGGTAGTGATGAATACAGAGGCAATAGTAGAGGAGAAAAAGGAGGATGGGGTGATCTTGGGAAACAAAGTGACTCTGTGACTGGATGCTGGGGAAGAAGTCAGGATGAAAAAGGGACAGGAGGGTGGAAAGACATGGGTGGGAATGGCGGGGGTGGGTGGGGATCAGAACAGAAGGCTGGGGTAGGTAAGAATTGGGGAGAGCAAGACTCCAAATTAAACAGTGGTGGAGGAGGGTGGGGAGATGAGAGGAAGAATGGAGGAGGGCACTCAGGTGGGGATTTAAGTGTGGGTGGGTGGGGAGACTGGGGTGAAAGTGCTCCCCGGAGGACCTGGGGGGCAGGGGGTACAGGTGGTGGAGGAAGTGGAGGAGGGGGTATTGGTGTTGTTGGAGGCATGGGGTCCAAACCCCAACAAAGTTGGAGTGGAGGAAACAAAATGCACCAGATGCCAAACAGCCAGTCGGGCTCCATCACAGGCCCACAGGCACAACTGCAACAGCAACAATCACAGCATCCACAGCTGCACCAAGCAATGGACCAAGGGGCTATGCAAGGGGGTGGGGGGAGGAAACTCATCTCTCAAGCCCAGAATCAGAACCAAAGCTCAGGCTGGACTTCAGGGCCCATCCCTGGTGTCCCTGGAGGAGATGGAAGTGGATCTGAACCAAGCGGCTGGGAGGAACCCTCGCCGCAGTCCATAAGCCGGAAGAATGAAGTAGATGATGGAACATCAGCATGGGGAGACCCAGATCATTACAAACCGGTCAACCTGTGGGATAAGAACAGTGGTCATGCAGTCCAGGGCCAGGCCCAGGGCCCGGCCCAGGCCCAGCAGCAGCAACAGCAGCAACAGCAGCAGCAACAGCAACAGCAGGGACCTCCAGTGCAGCAGCAGCCCAGCAGGCAGACTGCAGCACTTGGAGGTAACAGAGACTTCAACACTGGACCTGGGAAGTCTTCCGCTATGGGTAAGTTATTAGGAATTTAATTTAACTAACCAGGGTGTAATCATAAGTTCCATAACTCAACCCATACAAATCCACAACAATACCTGATAAATTTTTTTTATCAATTTCTTGTTCCAGTTCGTCTCCTTGTTCACCTCTGTTAATTTCTTTTATCTGACTGTTTGCATTTCCACCATCATGTCAAAGTGTACTCAAAGAGCAGTGATAAACTTATGGAGGAAACTGATCTGTCCTAGATATTGAGAATCATTGCTGGTAATCATAGCTGGCCTCAGATTCCAAACAGGACTTTTTAGTGGTATAATTATAGTTTTCAAACCTGAATGCAACCTGCCGCATGCTTATCATTTCTGTCACTGTTTATTCTTTGTGCATTTTGAATTAGTCTCCCTCAGGGTCAGACTCAAGTCTGCGTAAAGACATTACTCACTGAGTAAAAAACAATGCGAAATTCAGAATTCTACGGATCAGAACCAGCCAAATAACCTGTATACACACCAAGCGCGTTGCATTTTTGTAGAATTCTTTTTTTAAAGACTGAAATAAAAAATTAGGTTGACATGAAGTGATGAAGAGCTGGTCCTGATGTTTATAAACAAGAAAATGAAGAAACAAATTCTTGGTTCATCCAGTTCTCACAGGAAGGCAGGAGTAGGGAGAATTTCATGGTTTGATCCAGGAGTTGAAGCTGTATCACGGCTTTCTTACGTATGAAAGGATGTCATAGGCGAGTTTGAACACTTGGCAGAGTTGGGAACACAATTTCAGAGAACCGAGTGTGTTTAGCTGTGTGTCTGAGGTAAAATGGTATCATTTTATTATTTCCATATCAGTGAAAATACACTATTGGTGTGAATGGCTGCATTAAGAATGGGCGAGCCTGAAAAATATTTTTAATGCAGAAAAATATACACATAGATTTTACGCACCCGGTGTGAAAAAGCCTTTAATCTGAGGAAATGCATTTGGCACAAACCACTTTAACTTTAGTTTGTGTCTTTGTACACTGGCACACGTGCATACCAGTCATCATTGTTGATCACCACCCACTCGACTCAGCAGATTTTTGTTCCCTTTGACTTTTATCTTTCCCCAAATTTAAATTGAATGGTGACCATTTTGTATACACTGGAGGATTTTAAACTCTCAAGTGGTTCACAAGCAGGGTTTCTGTGCAGGAAGTGTTGCCTTGTTGCAGCGAAGTCTTGAAGTGGAGGTCAGACCGCTTTAGATCAGATAAAGCCGATACAGTTAATCTGAATGCATTGTTTTCACTTTAGATGAGTGATGAAACATTTCTTCCTTTGAAAGCATTGTGTCTAGGTGAACTAGATCAGGTATTGTTGGTTGTTTTTTTTGTTTTGTTTTTGTTTTTTGTTTTTTTGTTGTCTTTTTTATAGCCAGAGTTGCTGAACTCGTTCACACCTTATTCATTGTTACACATTGTAATGTGAAAATGAGAAAGGTCTGATTTGTGCTATGATTTATTTTTTATCTTTTTTGGAATAAAAATGATCCCATTGGTTAGTAAGATTTTCTTGTGGTTAAACACAAGGAAATTATATTAAATGTACTGATATCAAAACAAAACTGTTTTCTGTATAATTGCTTTGTATAAATTGATATTTGTTCATCGCTTAAACAGCAATTTGAAGAAGCTGAAGTTTGCCACCAAAAATCACTGTTTGAATGAAGTGAACAAATCAGAAATCCACTGTTGAATGTGCAGTTTTAATGGGACAGCTATAGCAACTGTTATATAGGTCATCACTGAAGTTTAGTGTTATAAGATAGCAGCTCAGCCATGGGAAAGTAGTCAACCAAGCAGCAGCTTGACGTTTTTGCAGTCGTGACTGTGGAACCACAGTAGCAGTGAAGCGTCATTGCTGACTGATAGCGGAAGCCAGTATGGTTGCAGACAAAACACTTTGATTTTTGGATCAGTGAGCCAGACCACATGAAGCCATGAACTGTTCAAAGAAGTGTCCTTTGTGTAGACTCTTATTTTTTTACTTCCCCTGTAAAAACAAACAAATAAACATTGATTAAAAGAAGCCTCTTTCTTGTTTCTCACCTTAACCATGCCCATGTGTATCTGCAGGTCCATCAGGCTGGGGGAGCACTTCCCCAACTAGTCCTACAGTAGACAATGGCACAACAGCTTGGGGGAAGCCTAGTGATGCTCCGACTGGTTGGGGAGACCCTGATGATGCTGGAGGAAAGACAACATGCTGGGGAAACCCTTCTTCAAATCCCATCAAATCTGGTCAGAAAATCAGTTTTAAACGAAACCACGTCTTTGAAATGAATCGCAAGTGTTAGTCATACAGTCTGATTTTGAGGTTTGCATTGGTTGTACCGGGTTTTGTTATGATGCATGATGCAGTAGACACACAACTAAAGTGTTTGTATTTATATAAATGTCATTTTCTAATGGCTTTAATCATAATCTGATAATGGCTTGTAACTTTTATGCTGCAGGTTCAAAGACTATGCAAGATGGCTGGGGGAACAAAGAGAGCCCTGTGGCAGCATCACGTAACCCAAGCTGGGAGGATGAGGAGGAAGGTGGCGGCATGTGGAATAGTACTGGCTCCCAGGGAAGTGGGTCATCTTGGGGACAGGGAAGCAATGGTGGCTGGGGTCAGAGCCACAGTGGGAAGAAGCCCAGCAGTAAGGTGGGTTACTGTTGGGGAAAATTGATCTCTGTAAAGGAAAAATCAATTATTAAGTGGAAGGACAAATGTCCTTAACAGGTTCTGTTTTATATATAAAAAAAAATTAAATTATTTGAAGTAATTTCATGATTTAAAAAAAAAAAAAAATTTATTTAGCCATCATTTAGTCTTGTCAACATTCCTTAGAAGAGTTAAAATAAATGGTAAATGGCCTGTATTTGTATAGCCCTTTACTTAGTCCTTAAGGACCCCAAAGCACTTTACACTACATTCAGTCATTCACCCATTCACACACCCATTCACACACTGGTGATGGCAAGCTACATTGTAGCCACAGCTGCCCTGGGGCGCACTGACAGAGGCGAGTAAACATACTTACGTGAATTAGTCCCACAATTGGAATGCTTTTATTGTGAATTCTTATAACAAAAAATCTTTAAAGTCATTTCCTTTGCTCTCCTTGTATTTGTCTCTTAGGGCCCATTGAAAGCTGGTGGAGGAGAGTCATGGATGGGCCCCATTAACAGACAGTTCTCTAACATGGGGTTGCTGGTAAGATAGAAACATTGGTAGGAATTCATACTAAAAATTAACATAAATTACATTTGACACATTATAGTGTTCTGTGCAGTGAGTGTTAAAAGCAGTGCTCATGATGGTGAAATTGGGTTTCTTTGTTGGACAGAATGATGATCCCAGTGGCCCAAACATTGACCCAACTTCAGGTTCTATCCAGGAGAAGAAAATAGAGATGGATAAAAGAGGCATGGGAATGACTGATTACAATGGAGACATGAGGAAGGGAGGAAGAGGAGGAGGTGTGGGGGTGTCTTATCGTCCTCCTGGTTCCAAAGAGGCAGCACCTGGGGATGCTGGGGCTTATTATGACAAGGTGATGCCTCATTACCATGTCTTTGTATCTCGTGTCTTTCATGTCTAGATAACATGTTGTCTTTTATCATAATTTTTTCCTCTTGTGATTCTACCTTTTCTTCCTGCCTGTTCCATTTGCCTCATTTCTCCTTTCCTCAAACTTCCCCTACACCATAATATACCACCAAAACTGGTCTTCCACTGGCTGTCACTGTGACAGACATTGCCTTTGATCAATCAGGATGGGTGCCTTGGGGAGGAGGGTCCTTGCTCTCTGTACTCTCCACCCTCTGTCTACAAGCCCCATTCCCTCTTCAACCACTCTATCCCCTTTAGACAAGTAAGATAATCACTCCTTTTGTTTCTGCCCTAATGTCTTTAAAGTCCTTGTATAAATCTTCTGTTTTCATTAGATGTTCATAAATATGAAAAGTTTTACATTCACCTTCTGTCACATTCGGCTTAATTTTTTAAGATTTTCACATACTCCATCCTCCACTGTAGGTCATCTGACATTTAATTTTCTGTGTTTGATCGCAGGCTGGTCACAATATCTTTGGCAGTAGTGGAGGAATGGCTCAGTCCAGACATCAGCCAAGTATCCCGCAGATAAACCAGTCACCAGGGATACGAGCGCAAGTGCCTCATCAGTTCCTGTCACCTCAGGTATTAAAAAAAAAATTATTATTTAAATCTATTATTTAATAGATTTAAATTTAAATGACAGAAAAGTTCCTGTTTTTCCACTATCTACGATAAAAGTTTATTATTATTGTTTTAAATATTGGATAGTCTTGGCAATGAGCTACCAGAACTTATTCTGTAAGTTTTCACATTTATTATTTAGAAAAACTGAGACCTGTTTTTGAAATTGTACTTCATCTTCTTATATTAAGACATTTCAGGCACTAAATGTTTACTTAAATGTCTTTACTCTATTAGAAAGGGGAGAGTAACTGATCTAGCCCACTTGAAGATCAAAGTGGGCTATGTGGTGTAAATTTAGTTTGACATCTGCGTCATACATTAAACCATTCTCATTTTGTGCCATGTTGTTTTTATTGTTTATATCGGATGTAGCTGATACAAATGCAGAATGATTTCAACTTGGAAACTGTAAAGGCTGTACTTTTCTTTGTAAGCCAGCTGGTGTTATGTAACAAAATCTGTAGACTTGGTTGGTGTCCAGTCATCTCTCATTTTTTTACAATAAGCAACTCTTGCTTAACGTTCTCATTTAAGTGAAAGCGATCAAAAGCCTTGTAACACCCTGCACTTAGCGAGACTATAAGAGTTAGTAAATGGTTAATATTTTAATATGGCCATACATTACAATTTCTATTAAAAGTTAGAGATATTATGTATGTAGTCAGTTTTAGTTTTTACCAAAAAAAAAAAAATCAGTGTTTCAGACTGGAAAAGATTTCATGAAGCTTTCAGTCGGTGCATCTCTGTCACCAACTGATGAGACCATGTAAGGGATTGAATGTTGATCAGGAAGAAGCTAATGTACTTGCTTATAGTTACAGGAAAGCAAAATGTTTCTTTGGTAACAGGTGTGCCCGTCTGCTGTCTGTCTCTAGGTGCCAGGCTCTGTGCTGAAGCAGATGCCCCCTCCCAGTGGAAACATGGGGGGAGTTGGTGGTGTGGGAGGGGTGGCAGGAGTTGGGGGAGGTGTGTTCCCTCCGCAGCTGTCCCCCCAGCATATTGCAATGCTCAGCAGCATCTACCCACCCCACATCCAGTTTCAGCTGGTGAGAAGCAGCATTATATGTCTCTGAAGGCTACTGCAGGGCTCCAGCACACATCTGCTAAGGGCATAGGCAAGGCTGTACGCAGCCACTGGAGAATCTGATCTGTACTTTTCGTACACCACCGTTACCAAGGCGTCATTCCCTCTGATTGTTACTTTCTCATATGTGTGACTAATTTTCATGCATGATTTGTGTGACACAGTCAGCAAATATATGAAATTATGTAGCCAAATAGCTAGAAGGAAATAAAAAATTTTTGTTATAACACTGAAACCGTAAAATCCATTCAAATACTTTTGCAGTGTGAAGGATGCAAAACAAAATGTGACCTAAAACTGGTCTTGAAGCAAACTTTTTCTCTTTTTTTCTGGCTTGTACAGTGAACTTCCAAAGATATTGCTCTTAATTCTTTTTTCTTTATGTTGCGATCTCACGTCCTTTTGCATCTTTTTTAATGTCCATTCAGGCTTGTCAGCTCCTCCTCCAACAGCAGCA